AGCCCCAGCCCCAGCCCCGGGGCTGCTGCCCAGCTCAGAGCCGGGAGGGGGCGGGCGACGGCCTGTTTACTGGGGGGAGGGGTTCCCGAAGGAAAAGGCCTGGCCGCCAGGGCAGGACCCGGGGGCCCGGGAGGCCGCCTAGGGACTCAGACACTTAACTGTTGGCTTAGAAAACTGCACCCCAATGTGGTACATGGTACCCTGTTTCTCAGACTCTGCCACAGATACGGTGCACAGGATACTATGTGGGTGGTGGTAGGGCCTTTATGCAATCCGTGGTAATTTCTTTGAAGTCTTTGGTTCATGAAAATTTGCATTAAACTCGTGTTTGATTTAATATAGGAATTTCCCCCAGAGTTTTCACGTAAAATTAACATTCCAGGAGGGTGTGCATTAAGATCTGTAATTGAAAAATTAAAAAATATATTTTTTTAAAAGGTCCTAATTTTAATTTGGATTAGCGGAGAGCTGCTAAAAGTAAGTTTTGTTTTTATTTATTTTTTAAATATATTTTTATTGACCTCAGACAGGAAGGGAGAGGGAGAGACAGAAACAATGATGAGAGAGAATCACTGATCGGCTGTCTCCTGCACGATCCTACTGGGGATGGAGCCCACAACCCAGGCCTGTGCCCTTGACCAGAATGGAACCCGGGACCCTTCAGTCCACAGGCAGACAGACGCTCTATCCACTGAGCCAGACAGCCAGGGCTAAAAGTAAGTCTTACACACAGCTAGCATGTACTGTGCCCTTAACTACACACCAGGCACTACTCTAAGTATTTCAAAGGTAGGAACTCCTTTAGCTTTCAAAACAACCGAGGCACCGTTATCCTCATGGCTGTGTGCAGCTGAGCAAGGAGAGGCCCTGAGAGCTGAGTCACGGGCCTAAGGTGGCGGCTGGCTGGGAAGTCGGACTGGAAATCGGGCACAGAGCCCACCTTTCATTAACCTACTTTTTTTCTCCACGTTTTAGTTCTCTTCAAAACTAAACGAAACGTTAGCCCTGACTTGATCATCGTGTTGCTCTGTCTTTCAAATACTCACACTTTTAAACCTACTAAGTGCCATTCTGGGACCTAACCTAGGACAAGTATCCAGACTGTGGGAGGAATCGTCTTTGTATGGATGGCTGTGCTGGGGTTTATGGCACTTTAAAAATTAGTAAAAATGTGTCTGGTTATCGGTGTGAAAGGTGGGAGGCAACCAGTTGTATAAATAGAAGTTTGGCTGAAGTGCCCACGTATATAATTTACATGCGAAAGGGCTGAAATAAACTATTATCAAAAGGATATTGCTGCCGAAACCGGTTTGGCTCAGTAGATAGAGCGTCGGCCTGCGGACTGAAGGGTCCCAGGTTCGATTCCGGTCAAGGGCATGTACCTGGGTTGGGGGGTGTGCAGGAGGCAGCTGATCAATGTTTCTCTCTCATCGATGTTTCTAACTCTCTATCTCCCTTCCTCTCTGTAAAAAATCAATAAAATATATTTTTTTAAAAAAGGATATTGCTAATAGTAATAGAACAAAATCTGTGAAATCTGAAATCCTGTTTAATCACTCTATGCCAAGTCTCTGTCCATTGACCTGCCGATCGTGCCGAGGCCTCCCGGCCTCTCCCTCCGGCTCCCCCTGGTCACACCACCAGAGCCCCTCCTCCTGCCGCCAGGCCCAGGATCGTGGACGTAGGATGTCCTAGGCGACACCACGGATGCCACCAGATCCTTTGTCAGCCTCCGTAACCCAGTCTCTGCCCTCAGATGCATGGAATCTATAAAACTCCAACCAACGGGGTGGGAATTGAGTGTAGAGGAGCGGGGTGGGGGAAGTACTCTGTTCAGGGGTGAAATCTCAGAGAATCTGAGTGTGAAATAGGAAATAGAGGGTGCGGACGCTCAATGAGCACCTCCGAAAATGTTAAAAGAAGTCGGAAAATGTTTTCTCCAATGCCCCCTCGCCCCCCCTTTTGAGTCCATACCCGAATCTCCAGCCGAGAGTAGCAGAAGCAGTTCCAGTGCAGAGCAGGTGCACCGGCCCGGCCCTGCTGCTGCAAAATCTATGAGGAGATAGCAGGCTTGCCTGAGGCAGAAGCAAAGGCTAGAAACGCCATAGGAACCAGAAATAACTGAGGGATGCAGGGGACGCGTGCAGCTGCCCAGGCCTGCCCTCCAGGACCCGCATCTGGTTGGAGGTCTGTGTTTAACACGAAGAAGCGTGTAAAGACTCTGTCCACCCAGTTGTGAGAGCTGCCAGCTGCCGGCACTGGGCTTGGTGACTTTCTCGCCGATTCGGTGTGGAATGAGCAGGGCGGTTCCTGGTGCCGCGCGCAGGCCCCCAGGTCCGCGGGAGCTGCAGCGATGGAGGGTTGTCTAGCAGGGTCAGACTCGAGCTGGGTCTTGGAGGATTGGTGGTCAGAGCAGAGATGCGATTGCCGTTGCCAGCAAGGGCAGAGAGGGGAGAGGGCACCCAGCGGGTGGGAGATGTGCGCTAGGCGGGCGAGGAAGAAAGTGGGCCTCTGCGGGAGTCCTTGCGTCCCCAGGAGGTTCCCACCTATTTCTCAGGTTCCTGGAGGGTGTGGCTGACAGGTAAACCTTCAGACCTGGGCTCGGGATTTCGTGCAGGGATGTTTCACTTCCCGTGACCAGCCGGCAACTCTGAAAGCACAGCTGCTCCGTTCTCCGTCAGGGTAGATGGAGCAGATAGTCTCTGTCTCAGAACAGAGGATGTGAAACCAGCTTGAGGCTGTTAAACAATGAGCCCTGTATCCTTCGTATCACGTGGCTTCCAGGCCAAACACAAACTCGATTTTATACAGAGAATATTTTTTCAATTAGAAGACAAAGCCTCGCCTGGCTAGCATGGCTCAGTGGTTGAATGTCGACCTATGAACCAGGAGGTCACCTTCCAATTCCTGGTCCGGGCACATGCCCAGTGTGGGGCGTGCAGGAGGCAGCCGATCAGTGATTCTCTCTCATCACTGATGTTTCTATCTCTCCCTCTCCCTTCCTCTCTGAAGTCAATACAAATATTTTTTTTAAAAAGACAAAGCCTGCTTTCCCCCCTTGGTTTTTCCGCCTTTATTGGGATATAGTTGACATTTAACGCTTTTTATACATGAAAGAAACTCAATCTTCCCAGCTCTCAGATGCAGAGAGAACTAGCTAACAGCCTCCTTGTGCTGGGAGCAATCGGTAGGTGTTCTTAGATTTTTATACACTTAACTTTGTTATATGTAAATGTTTTCATGCTTTAGTCAGCGATGTGGAGGGAAGAGCAACATTTTAAGGACCATCTGTAGTGTATCTCTAACTCTTCTTTCTTGTTACCCGTGTAGGGGGAACAAAACTAAAACCTCCCCAAAATGTGGAAGTCGACATCATCGATGACACCTTCACCCTGCGCTGGGCCCGGAGCAGGGAGCCTGCCGGGAACGTGACTGTGTCGGCGGATTACCAAATGTACGTGCCCCCCTCGCTGGTGGCCAGAGCATCTGAAGATTTTTATAGTTTTAATGCCATCATTTCTTTCCAGATTTTTGGAACACTTAGGGCTTTCCCCCCAGTTTTTGGAGAAATGTTATGTCTACGTAATATTTAGAGCTTCATTTTGGCAAACAGAGACTTAGTGGAATTTATCTTTGGGCTTTGCCGCCAGTGGGCTGTGGGGTGGCGATGGCGGCAGCTTAGTCCGCAGCCGCACCGTCTCCGCTTTGGGCGCCGGGTCCTGTGACTGGAAATCCGAGCCTGAGCTGGAGCATCGCGGTCACTGGAGGGGGCAGGCAGGGAGTGGCAGCAGAGAGGGTTCCAGAAGGAAACGGAGCTCGGAGGGGCAGTGCTTGGCGCTGGGCATCGGGCCTGTCTGCTGACCTCTCCCTGTGCGAGGAAGAGCAGGTGATGGGCGGCGAAGAAGCAGGCGCCGGGCGGGGGGGACCGGAATCCCACCCTGCACCCTGCACCCTGGCCACACGCTCTTGTTCTCCAGTGGGTGGTCGATAAAACGAGGAGATTGGTAATCTCACAGATTTAGTAATTTTTTTAACTTGATTTTTAGAGAGAGAGGAAGGGGGAAAGAGAGAAAAACATGGCGTGAGAGCGAAGCATTGAGGGGCTGCCTCCTGTGGAGGAGTCTCGGGAACGTTTATGGTGGATTAAGGTGTTGCCAACACCAGCTCGAGTCTAAGCTCAGGCAGGTAAAGGAAGAGGTGACGGCCAGGAAAGACGTGTTCCATGCTAGTGTGTGTTTTTGGTAATTTTTTTAAAATGTGTTTTTATTGATTTTTAGAGAGAGAGGAAGGGAGAGAGAGAGAGAGAAAAACATCAGTGATGAAAGAGAAACATCATCAATCGGCTGCCTCCTGCACGCCTCCTACCCGGGACCGAGCCCACAACAAAGGCATGTGCCCTGACCGGGAATCGAACCATGACCTCCTGGTTCATGGATCGAGCTATACCAGCTGGGCTATTTTTGGTAATTTTTAAAAATGTTTCTTTTTTTAAAAAAATAAGGTAGACTTAAAGTTGGGTCAGCACCAAAATTATTTGGATACCATTCCTAGTTTCCGTTGTCATAAAGCATCTTTAACCCTTTGCGGTCCAATTTTATTTTTGGAATTCCAACAGTCTGGTCCAAATTAATTGACGGGATTGAATGTTGAAGTTATCTGTCTCACTAGACCTCAGCTCGACGTTGGACCTGCTCCTAGCGCCTGGTCTGTCGAGTCAGCCTCCACGTTGGACCGAAAAGGGTTAAAGTGAAGTCTATAATATTACCCCCAAATCAGCTAATGCTGGGACTGTGAACTGAGCTGGACGAAATGCCTCCTCGGACCAGTGTCCCAGGTGGGCAGGGCTCCCTGGGCAGGAGTCGGACCCCGCCTCTCGCTGCCTCCACTCCTCGCTCTGCCGCAGCAGGGCCTGCGCTTGAGGCGCAGGTGACCGCGGATTTCTTCCTGCGTCGGAAGGATCTAATGTTAACCACGTAGGCTTTTGGGTTGACTGAATCCACTTTGAGGACTTTATTAGTGAAAGTTACTGTGAGTCCTTCGTTCCTGGTGCTGGGATGGCAGGAACGCGGGGTCAGCAGGCAGAGGGGTCTTGGTAGTGAGGGCAGAGGAGCGTTCAGACTCTGGACTCCGAGGCCTCTCAGGGCTGGCGGCTGTTCAGGGAGCAGACCAGCGGGACCATCCGCTCCAGTCCCCGGTTCCCAGCAGGAGCAGAAGGTCCGGGAGTAAAGTGGTCGGCCAGAGGGCACAACTGCTCACAGCAAAGTCCACTTCTACCTGTGGGTCATTCCTCCTCTGCTTCCCCACAAGATTAGAGAACCGTGTACATTACAGTCTCTGTGTCAGACCCTCCCTCTTAGGAATGAGAACCTGGTGTCTGCACTGAAAAGGTGGAAGGACAGTAACATGTCAACAGCACAGAAACTGGAGCGGAAGTAACTGCGTGAACAGACCGCATCCGGCACGCTCCCGGGTTTACACGTCCGCTCACTCTTTCTCTTGCCTTTTTATTTTGAAGACCTGGGATTGTGGATAATTGGACGAAACTGCCTGGGTGTCAACATGTTACTAGTGCCACATGCGACTTTTCTTCCCTCAAGATGAATGTTTATGAGGAAATTAAACTGCGAATAAGAGCAGAAGAAGGAGACAACACTTCCCCGTGGCGTGAGCTTGACACATTTATACCCTTTCAGCAAGGTGAGGAACAGCTGCTGGGATTACACTGTATCGTCTGCTCAGTTACCAGGCAGCTCACTTCCCACACCTGCACCTTTTTTATACTAGAGGCCCGAAGCGCGGAATTCGTGCAAGGGGCTCAGCCCTCACAGCCCCAGCTTCATCTGGAAGGTCATTCAGAGGGTCGTCCAGATGGTCGTTCTGCTGTTTGGTCTAATTATCATATTAGCTCTTCATTATATAGGATATTTTTCTTGATTTCAGAGAGGAAGGGAGAGATACAAACATCAATGAGAGAGAATCATTGGCTGCCTCCTGCACGCCCCCTACTGGGGATCAAGCCCGCAACCTGGGCGTGTGCCCTCACCAAGAATCGAACCATGATCTGGTTTATGGGTCGATGCTCAACCACTGTGCCATCCCGGCTAGGCCCAAAGATAAATCAGATCATGGCATTCCTCCAATCATAGCCCTCAGATTCCTTACTCCCTGGCCACGAGTGACCTCTGACCTCATTGTCCATCACCCAGCCATTCCAAGCCCCTCCTGTCTCTTGAACGTGGTAGCCCCTGCCCATCTTAGGGGCCTAGACCTGAGTGCCGGCCGGGACCACACTTCCTCCCTAGATGTTTGCATGGCTTGCTCCCTTGTTTCAGTCACATCTCGGAGGCTCCCCCTGACTAACTTACCTGAGACACCCCTTGCTCATCCTCTGTCCTTGTGTAATTTTCGTGTTTCCTTACGCACGCCTGTCACACACGTATGTGTCTGCAGGGATGCTGCGTTCCCCGGGACAGTGGGCTCACGGGACTGTCTGTTTCACACTGTGAGGCTCCGGTTGAGCACTCAGAAGTGTGTGGGTGCGTGGCATCTTGTTCATGAAGGTGCACAGTCAGTGTCCCGGTCTTTACAGCTCGGATCGGTCCTCCGAAGGTACACTTAGAAGCCGAAGACAAGGCAATAGCGATCAACATCTCCCCTCCCGGAGCCGAGGACAGTATCATGTGGCAGCTGGAACGCCCCCACTTCAAATACAGCGTGATCATCTGGAGGAACGCGTCGGGGGCGCAGGTGAGCGCTGCCCTCGCCTGTGTCCCATGGAGACGGACACTCACCCTGACGTTTGGCTGGCGCTCTTCTAAAGAACAGGCTTCTGTTTGTTCGTTGTAGACTTGGAATGAAACTCATCACTCCAGATTTCCCAGAATTAAAATTCACAAGCTCGTGCCAGAGACCACGTACTGTGTGAAAGTGAAGGCGCGCCTGCTCCTGCAGCGGAACCCTGCGGAGTTCAGCCCTGTGCACTGTGTGAGCACCACAGGTGAGGCCGTGGTCCGCGGGCACACAGTGCGGCCGGCGGGCATCTTGCACTTTAGGTGCTGAAACTCATAGGATGGTTTAGTGGATAGTTAAAAGCATTTACATAAGCCAGAAAATGGCTGAGAATCCACAGAAAGGGGTGGTAGTTGCTGGAAGAACAGTTAGCCTTGCAAAACTGCCTTATAGGCGAAATCTGTATAATAAAAGCCTAAGCGACCGTTAAGGCGGAACAACCAGTCACTGTGATGCGCCACTGACCACCAAGGGGCAGAAACTCAACACAGGAGCTGCCCCGATGGTCAGTGTGATCCCACAGGGGGAGCGCCACTCAGCCAGAAGCCGGGCTCACGACTGGCGAGGGCAGCAGCGGTGGAGGTAGCCTCTCCCACCTCCATGGCAGTGCTAAGGAGCAGCGAGCTGAGTGGTAAGGAGCTGCAAGCAGGTGGGCAGTAAGGAGCGAGGGGTCCCAGACTGCAAGAGGGATGTCCGACTGCCGGCTTAGGCCCGATCGCCGCAGGGAGCAGGACTAAGCCATCAGGCGGACATTGCCCGAGGGGTCCCGGACTGCGAGAGGGCATAGACTGGGCTGAGGGAACCCCCACCCCTACCCGCAGTGCATGAATTTCGTGCACCAGGCATCTAGTGTTTAAATATGAAAACATCCCGGTAGATTTATTTCATCAGTGACATCTTGTCAACAATTCAGGTCAAGGGTAGGAGCTTAGGTTTGTTTATTTTAATTATAAATTTAGTATACTTTGTGGGGTTTTTGTTTGTTTTTTAAAGATTTTAATTTTTTTTTTAAATATATTTTTTATTGTTTTCAGAAAGGAAAGGGGGGAGAGAGAGAGAGAAACATTACTGATGAGAGAGCAGCATGGATCGGCTGCCTCCTGCACGCCCTCTACTGGGAATCGAGTTTGCAACCCTGGCATGTGCCCTGACTGTTGGGGTCCAACCCGCCAGATGTTGGGGTCCAACCCCAATGGGTCCAGGGGTCCCCAAAGGTGTGGACGGAGTCGGCAAAGAAGGAATGACACGGAGACAGCCTTCAGTTGATCAGCAGCCTAGTCAGGACCTCTAGCCAGGATCTCCAGCCAAAGTTCTGGTCGGGATCTCCAGCCAAGTTCTGGTTAGGATCTGATGTTTATTGTCTTGTTACATCTGTATTTATACCAGCCGATTTTAATCCTGTCAATTTCTATTACAAAGGTTAGGGCGTTTCTTATCTCCATTCCAGGGAGTAAAGATTATGTAGCTTAACTACCCGCCTGGCACTTAATTAAGGGGTTGTATCCCCTCCCTAACCTCAGGGAAAAATCCCCACCTGGGGAAACAACCTTTCTCGGAGAGGTGACCTTGGTTAAAACACATGGCACTAAGGAGAGCAAACATATTAAGAACAATATGCTATATATGCCAGGTCCCTTGAAACATATGCTGTGCAGATGTTTCTTTCCTGCAGCGACTGTGTCAAGCAGCAAGGATGGACCGGCTTCCGGCACCTGACCAGGAATCTAACCGTGACCTCCTGGTTCATAGGTCAATGCTCAACCCCTGAGCCACGCCAGCCGGACTGTGCTTTTTTTTTTTGAGTCAAACCACAGGGCAGGGTGTGAAATGATGTTTTCCTCTCCTGCCTCCCTCCCCGTTTCCATTCGTCAGAGAGCAGGTGGCTGGGCTCCTACCAGCATGTACAGACTAGCAGTGGTTCTGTTTTTTGTTTGTTTTCATCTTTATTGTTCAGATTATTACAGTTGTCCCTCTTTTTTCCCCCCATAGCTCCACTCCACCCAGTTCCCACCCCACGCCAAGCCCTCGCCACCTCACCGTCCTCGTCCATAGGTATAACATCTTTGTCTAATCTCTTCCCGCATCCCCCACATCCCCTTCCCCCCGAGAATTGTGTCTGCTCCCTTTCCATGCCCCTGATTCTATTACATTACAGTTTATTCTGTTCATCAGATTGTTTATTCATTTGATTTTTAGATTCACTTATTGATAGATGTGTATTTGTTGTCACTTTGTTGTTCATAATTTTTTATCTTTACCTTTTTCTTCTTCCTCTTCTTAAAGAATGCCCTTCAGCATTTCACATAATACTGGTTTGGTGGTGATGAACTCCTTTAGCTTTTTCTTGTCTGTAAAGCTCTTTATCTACCTTCAATTCTAAATGATAGCTTTGCTGGATAAAGTAATCTTGGTTGTAGGTTCTTGGCATTCATCACTTCGTATATTTCTTGCCACTTGAGAAATCAGCTGACAGTCGTATGGGTACTCCCTTGTAGGTAACTAACTGTTTTTCTCTTGCTGCTTTTAAGATTCTCTCTTTGTCTTTTGCTCTTGGCATTTTAATTATGATGTGTCTTGGTGTGGTCCTCTTTGGATTCCTTTTGTTTGGGGTTCTCTGCGCTTCTTGGACCTGTAAGTCCATTTCTTTCACCAGGTGGGGGAAGTTTTCTGCCATTATTTCTTCAAATAGGTTTTCAATATCTTGCTGTCTCTCATCTTCTGGCACCCCAACTCTCTTCTTGCACCCCCATAACTCGGATGTTGGTTCGCTTGAAGTTGTCCCAGAGGCTCCTTACACTATCTTCATATTTTTGGATTCTTCTTTCATTTTGCTTTTCCGGTTGGGTGTTTTTTGCTTCTTCGCATTTCAAATCTTTGACTTGATTCTTGCGCTCCTCTGGTCTGCTATTGGGTGTCTGTATAATATTCTTTATTTCAGTCCGTGTATGCTTAATTTCTAGTTGGTTCTTTATCATAGCATCGAGGGTCTCATTAGTTTTCGTGACTCTCTCCTCAAGTTTATTGACAGCTTCTAGCACATTTTTGCAAGCCCTCAAAATTGCGATTTTTAGCTCTATATCCTCCATTTCTGTCATGTTTTTTTGTCTCCGCATTTTTTATGCTTTCTTGGTGCACCCCCTAGTGGTCTTTGTGCGCAGTCTTGTTCTAGTTGAGCCTTGATTGTTGTAGTTAATACTAGAGGGATTTGACCACCAGGCCGACTGGCTGTGTGAATCAGCTGTGTCTGCCGCGGAAAACTTCTGTCCTCTGGGGAGGTGCTAATCTAGCCTTTGCCTGAGGCGATCTGGCAAATGGCTCTGCGCAGGGCTTGGGCGGGGCGGGATCAACAGGGCAGGCGGGCGGAGGGAGCAGTTATGGCCCCTCTCAGTCCCGTTCCCAGAGGCTCTGCTTCTCAGAACCCCAGGAACCGCTGCAAACCTCGGAGGGAAAGCTGCCTTCCAACTGATGCCAGACACTCCCGCTTCTCCCGTTTGAGTCCCCAGCGATTCGCCCGTATCTGGAGCTCAGAGTCTGAGACTCCCCCCTGACCGAAAACGACAACCGCGCTCTCAGCCACCAGCCCGCTTTGCGCGCGCACCTCCGCACCTGAGTATTTTCCACACTGCGCCTCCTCTGAGCCTCGGTGTGCTGTTATTTTTCCTTCTAGTTGAAGAGTCTCTCCTCAGCCAGCCTTCCTGTGGTTCTGGGTGATGTCCGTTCCGTCTTTTAGTTGTATTTTTGAAGTGGTTGTTTGCGGCAGCAGTCTCCGATGTTTACCTATGCCGCCATCTTGGTCTCCCCCAAAAAGGATTTTTTTCCCCATCCCCCTTTCCCAGGCTAAGAACCCCTGCGTTAGAGGGTCTGTCCCCTGAGGTCCCAAGCGCCCGTGTCTTGTCCACTTTGGTACCTTCGGGCCATTTTGTTCGGTGCGGCACACGGAGAGTCTCCTTGCTTGTTTGTGGAATTGAAAGGAAAGGAATTGCCTAGATGGCCATCCTCCCAGGTGAGGAAAGTGCTCATTCAAGGCTAAGGCTGGAGTTTTGTTCCCAGACTTCATGTCTGGGAGAGGATTTTCCAGGGGCTCCCACTCTGCAGGCTGGAGCGGGAGGAAGTGGCCAATTCTGGGGACTCCGCTAAGTTACAGGAATTCTCTGGAGAAAGAATGACAGCAAGTTGAGCTGGTTAAACAGAGCAAGATGGAAAAAACGCTGGAAAAGGAAATGACGTCACTCATTCTGTTGGCTTTGAGCACAGGGAACCCGAAAAGTACGAAAAGTACGTTTATTTTATTTTATTATTTAAAAAAATATGGAACGCTTCACGAATTTGCGTGTCATCCTTGCGCAGAGGCCATGCTAATCTCTGTATCGTTCGAATTTTAGTCTCTGTGCTGCCGAAGCGAGCACCAGGAGGTTACCATTTTAAATAGGGAGCTGAGGGAAGGCGTGGTGAGAAGGGGACATGCGAGGAGACGGAGGGATGAAGGAGACGCCTGGAGAAGGCAGGCTTGGTGGGCTCAGAGCTTTGGCCACGTCAGAGCAGCTCCCAAGGTTAACTTCTGAGCTTGAGAGAATTGAGGATAGCGGGTTGGGGGCGGGCACCAATTTGCCAATGATTGGGAAATGATTTATGCCTGTAACCCTGACAACAGCTGAGGCAAATGGCATATTAGTTTCCTAGGACTGACAACTCACCACCAAGTCGGGGCCTAAAACAACAGAAAGCCCTTCTCTCATAGCTCAGGAGCTGCAGTCTGAAATGCAGGTGTCGGCAGGCCGGTGGCCGCCAGCACGGATCCTTCCTGAAGATGCACCGCTCCGACCTCTGCCTGTCGTCACGTGGCGTTCTCGGTGTCTCCGCGTCTGTGTCGGAATTTCCCTCTTCTATGACACCAGTCACTGGGTTTGGGGCCCACCCTAGTAAGGTATGACCTCATCTTCACTGGGATACTTTGCAAACCTCTAGTTCCAAATAAAGCCACATTCTGAGGCTCCCAGTGGACACACATTGGGAAACAGATGCTAAATCAAGGAGAGCAAGACACACTCTCCACCCCGTACGAGTGCCATGTGCCAGTTCACCCACGGGCACACTTCCGTGCCTCCCCACAGCCTCTCGCCACTGTCCCCGACCCACGGCACCCAGGCTATCGGGGTCAGAGCGTGGACTGTTATTTAATACGCATTTTATTGAATACTTTGTGCATCGGGCACTCTCTTAGGGCTGCAAATACAACCCCGCCCCCAGTGGCTCATCCTCTCCTGGGGTGACAGGCAGAAAGCAAATAAAGCCAGGTGGGGCCGCCAACACCTCCAAGCAGGAGACGGGCAGGAACCAGGAACCGACTGGAGGCTGGGGAGGGGCAGCCATGAGGGGAAGCAGGTGGTGGCTGGAGCCGCTTCAAGCAGGAGGGAGTGGCCAGCTCTGCAGGAGAGGGGCTGAGCCGGAGGACTGAGGGGACCGCCAGTGGCCCTCAAAGCACCCCAAATCCAACGAACACACATTTTAAAGGAGGTGCATCTCTGAAAAACATGGAGGGGGGGTGTTGGCTTTCTTGTTTTTTATGATGAAAAAATTGGGCTCATTTTCTAACATGGAAACACCCCCACACCACCCAAGCCCAGATCAGAAAAATCATGCTCTGTCATCGGCTTTCAAACAACTTTATTAGAGGCTGTTTTAAATGACAACTCCCAATTCTTCTTAATTTGCTTTTTCACAAATTCCAGTTAGAACTATGTTTATACAGGACAGTAATTTTTGCATTGATCTTTGCGTCCTATTTAAACTGCCCATCAGGCCATTCTGGTAGAATGAAAAGTGCAACTGTGAGGCTGCAGGTTGACCAGCACTACTGAGCAGAGGCGGCGGGGGGAGGGAGGGGGGCGCGGGGGCTGCGAGGGAGAAGCCCACTTCACAGGTGGGGCGGGCGCTGCCACCCTCTCCTCTACCCCCCCAAACTCACAGTGATAGGCACCTCGCTGCCTTGTCATTCAGAAAGGGTGAAATAGAGACCCTCCCGGTCCGAAAAAGGGTTTGGACTTCCATCTTCAACGGAATTGAGGTTTCTCCCACCCTTCCCATCCCCCATTGAACACTCAGGTCCTAAGGCTCCCCATGTGCACGCGCGTCTCCCCAACCGGCCAAGGACCCTCTCTGGGACCAGGCCCCCTCCCTCCGCTCCTGGCCCCTTTCCTGTCCTTGGACAGATGCGACACCGGTGTGGGCAGTGGCAGGAAGGCCACTCCCACTTCCTCTCCTCACCCCACCTCTTGGGTGTGGGAAGGTACAATCAACCATGAACATAAATATGAATAAAAAATGAACTTGAAAATGACAGGTTATTAATTAAACAAATCTATAAAAATAGTTAGGACATAACTCTGTTCAAATAAATACGAAATAAATAGGCTCGGAGCAGTGATCCGTGGCATCAGTGGAATGTGAGGCTGGTCCCACCGCCCCAGCTGGGATTGGACATGAATCCCGGGGCCTCAGGAACAGACTTTAATGCATCAGCCAACCTCTCTACTCGCTTTGTCTTCCCTCCGGAAGCTCAGGGCTTGCACATTTGTCCAGTCTGTCTTTCTGAACAAAACCCTTTCCTTAAAAATACCTAATTAAGGCCCTCAAGCCCTTTTCCTTCTCGGGGCACGCAGACACGGGGCAGAAACCTCCCGTTACCCCACACCCCACTGCCTCATGCCAGAGCAGGGACAGGGAGCTGGATCTGAGCTGGTGACAGTCCCGACAGAGCCCGGAGCCAGCTCAGAGCACCAGGAGGCCCCAGCAGCGCAGGGCAGAGGCAGAAAACTGTGTTTGCCTCCGGTTCTCTGTCTTGCGAAGGTGTGATTCTGGTTGCGGTGTTGCTCCCCGATGGGAACGTTCTCTCCCTCAGAGCTCACTTCTCCGCGAGGCTCGAGTCCTCAGTCCCGGCCCAGGGTCTTGGCAGCACGCCCACCACGGCCACTGCCAGGCGCGGCACGGCGTCACTGAGTGCGCACGGCGAGAGGTGCGCGGGGCCCCACGGCACAGTATTTGCACATCTGGAACCATCAGTAAAGTGCAGCCAAGCAGGACACGCTGAGCTCCGGGTGCCGTCCTCGTCGCCTCTTCAAGTGTTCATAGCAGCTGTCTAGCAGCCGGCCGCAGCTCCCGGGCATGGAAGGGCCCTGCGCACAGGCCAAGCAGCCCCACGCCCCCGGGTGCTCCCCTGAGAACAGGCTCTCGTCCCCTGGCACCCACTTCCTGAGGGCACTGTTCACCGTTACAGCCCAGCCCCTCACAGGATGGCTGCCTGCTACAGGCACTCGATACAAATACTAAATCAATGCATTTGGAATTAAAAACAAACTTTTTTTGTCTTAAAAGGTCTTATTTGAAAAGGACCTCTGGAAGCAAGTCAGAAAAGTGGGCGCAAGTGCAGGGCTGCGAGCGCGCCCCCGTGGCCTGGTGTGCCCCGCCCCAGGACGTGTTCCGGAAAGGGATCTACTTCCGCGTCCGGGCCTCCCGCGGGAACAGCTCGTCCCCCTGGTCCGAGGAGGAGAAGTTTGATGCTGGAAGGCAAGGTAAGCCAGTCGCTTGTACTCTGGATTCTGATTCTTCACCCTGGAGGCCCTTTGCCCTCATCTCATCTAAGCGAA